GAGAGAGAGAGAGAGAGAGAGAGAGAGAGAGAGAGAGAGAGAGAGAGAGAGAGAGAGAGAGAGAGAGAGGACATATCTGTCCACTTAACATGCCGGGGCAAGTGGAATTCAGAGAGAGGTCAAACAGGTTGGAGAAAGGAAAATTAATTCCTCTCAATAATATTGCCGCATCGGATTCCTCTCATTGCAATAAAACTGCCCCATGCTCTGTCATGAGACAAGCATAGGCATGACAACATGCTAACTTACTGATCTCCCGCAATGATGCCAACATCCCATCGCTGGCCCCACTTACGTGTCTGATCTCTGACTCCCTCTCTGTCAGTACACAGGAAGGTGAAGAGGGAGAGATATGAAGGGGCTGAACTGTAGCAGATCAGTGTGACAGTCCCCTTGTAGCAGACTCTTTTCTTTGGAAGGGGGTTGCCCCCATCTGATTCTACCACTTGCATGTCAGTACCATTCCGGGACATGGGGGGGCTTGGTCCGTCCGACAGACTTTCTTAAAATGCCAGTTGTCTTCATCCTATAAAGGCCTTTGGACGGTCATGAGTGCCTTCTCACAGCTCTCGTTTGTCCATAACTTTTATTTCCTCTTGCAATGATCGTACTGAACTGTCAACAGCCCTTTTCCTGAATGATGTGGCTACTGTGGAGGTACGGCAGCGGCCCAGCTGACGCCATCACTGCTCTCTAGATGCCGAGTGCAAGAACTCGATACCTGCTGTCATTTCTGAATGGCAAATGCTACATGGGGTCATCGCATGGCGATTGTGACCAGTTAAGAGTTGCAACTTGCGATGCCAGCCATCAGTTCCGAATGGTATGTGGGGTCATTGCCAGTGTAATGATATCATTTCTGTCGTGATCGGAGCAAGGCATCAAGCTCAAAGGTTGCCACAGGTCTCCCCTTGTGAATGCTCCGTGTGAATTTGACCCCGTGATCAGTCAAGAGTTAATGCATTGCGGTGAAAGGGTCATGATCCTCGAGCGTAACGGTTGCAGTGCTGACCATCTTTTGTTAATGCATTGTGGTGCTGCTTTGAATCCTTTGATACCACTCATTCAACTGTAGCTTTAACTTAGCTGATCTTTGGAATGGAATGCTAGTGGGCCTGGTCTGTTGCTGTCTCTATTCGATCGTCTTCTTGCAGGAGCATACAGGTGGAAAAGTTGCAGGAGGGAGAAAACGGAACAAGTGTGGAGTGATCTGAGGCAGAGCTGAGGGCAATGCAAGGTATATATGGGTGCCTTTGAGATTGAACTCATGTCGTGCTCTTTGTTTGACGAATGGTTTGGCAATCAGTGATACCTGCCCTTCTGGTATGGGTACAGAAAACATACATTTGCCACAAAAGCGAATGTTTCCAAGCCAACTTCTTGGCGTAGTGGTAAGACTGCCGCCTTCCCCTGAGCACAACGCATCGTGATTTTGAATGTATAGAACCGATCTCGGCAGTACCTTACATTCATGATGTGGGTGCATTGTGTGTGGCGAAGATAGCAGTAGGAGATGACCCACACATGATTGCCCCCTTGAGCTGAGATACTCTGAGATTACTAGTCGAGGGGCAACTGCTATGTCACCGTCTGTCTTGGTAAGAGATGGCTTGTGTCTCTGGGGTAATATTTCTTCATTTGTGCTGGTTTTCCCTTTTTTAAACCCCTTTTCTTTTAAGGGGCAGCCCTCAAGATTAATGTGTCCCTCTGAGTCACTCGGGATTCAAAGTTTTTCAAACTCGCGACCTGTTTGTCGACGCAGATTGTGTACCATTCAGTTGCAAGGACTGAGGTGTTCTTTATGTGATTGTCATTCGTGCTCACTGGCAGAGTGCTATCTAAATCTGCACCTGAGAGATTATGGACTGTGCATAGTCTTCTCAATTTCACCTCAATGTACAGGGGACCCCTGCAAGCACATCTACCTCTCTTTTTTTTTTCTTTTTTCTTTTTTTTTTTTAAATACCTCTCACAATGAAGGGGATGCATGTTGCCCCCCGCCCTTATTGGCGGTCGTCAGGGCGTAGGGTGGGTCCGCCCGTGGAGGGGCCAGCTAATGCAAAGACCGAGCATTTTGCCAGTACTAGCTGATATTTTGGTACGTATGCCCCCCAGAGATCATGCACTGTCCACCGTCATCTTCAGAGTGGTCTTCCAACTTCCAACTTTCCTGGATGCCTTGAGGAGCAAGGGGTTGTGGCTAAACCTTTTTTTCGTAACCTTAAACAGGGCCTTATAGTTGTGGCTCCCTTCGTTTTATGTTGAGCAGCAGTCAGGTTAAAAAAAAAAAAAAAAAAAAGGTTCCTTTTCCCCTGGCAAGTCAGAAAATACAGATGGAATGACTCAACCACACTGAGTCTCCCTCTTGTCGCCACCAGAGGGACCACCAACAGCATTGAGTGTACCCAGCCGCGAGGATTGACAGTCGCCGGTCGGAAACGCCTAGTACACAGATGTCCAGTCCCCTTCCCGGAAAGAACTACCCCTTACCGAAAATACCATACTGAAAAAGATAAACTGACCTTGGTTCCCAGTTCGTGCCAATTTGTGAGGATATGGTTGTATCTATGGGACGCTGGACCCGGTTTCCAGCAGGTGTTGCTCCCCACCAATAGATGTAGCTCGTTAAAAAAAAAAAAAAAAAAACTGACCTATTTTTTCTCAGCAGGTAACTGGCTGCCTGAACATGCCTGGTAGCTGGCTGACTGAACATGCCTGCAAATCGAGGACCGATCTTTCTGCGATTTCCTTTCTCTTTTTTTTTCTGGGGAGCATCCGTCTGGATCATTTTCCGCTGGCAAGTGAATGATACAACATGTCACCCACGTACGCTTTCCTCTGTAACGGCCAAAGGTACCCCTGCGCACCATCGATGGCTCCTTGACAGAATAATTGGCACTCAGGCTTGCCTTCCGGTTGTTGACATCCTCTCGGTCCATGTATATGTAGACTGTCAGAACTGCTATATTTCCTAGAGGCCACAAACAAATTGCCAAAGTTCTCCTAGTATACCTTTTGCCCATCAGGTCCAGCCTGTCGTGTCTCCTTTGATTCAGGTGTTCGAGAGGCCTGCTTGCCAAATTTCCGAGTCGGGCCAGGTCCTCCATCTGCACGACAGCTCCATCATGCTTGCCACAGTGACTTTGCCTTTGGGGAAGCCAACTACGTTCGATTTTTTTATTTTTTTTTCCGCAACCCAATTACATTGGAACGTAGTTAGTTTCAATTTACTGACGCGTTTCTGGGGTGGTGGGAAAGGGATGCACAAAAAGGGGGGCTTTGGCAGACT